CCTCATACGGTCTCACTAAACCACCTGACCTGACCAGTTGAAGGCGCTGCAATACGTGTTATGAAACTGTCTAAAATGCCACACTCCTCAAAAAGACGTGTCTTCAAAAGCTGTTTCACAGATGTCAGACTTGTAAAATCTTATGCAAACGATCAAGTTACATCACAAAATGCAATGGCACTCTAACATTCATAATAGGAAATGAAGAACTTACACCATCAATTACCAACTCACTACTCAGCAGATTCATGAAAAGTGAATGTAATATTGACCTCACGGATGCTCAGGACACTGATGAATTTCTCCTTACTGCAGGACCTTTAACTCTCGAGTACACCCCTGAAAAAGAGATAACCTCCCTTTCTAAAGGAAACGAGATGGAGCAGCAACAGAAATCCCATGAAGTGACGAAGAACTGTGCTGCAACTGATGGTCTTTTGGCTGTTTTCACGCTTCACGTTACCCTTGGGAGATATCATCAGGAAACATGGTGTTAGCGTTCACTGTTATGCTGATGACACTCAGCTCTATATTTCTTCGTGACCTGACAAAACACACCAATTCGCAAAACTGATGGAATGCATAGCTGATATAAAAAACTGGATGACTAGCAATTTCCTATTGCTAAACTAAAAATAACACGTCTGTTTTTTTTTGTTTTTGTTTATTATCAGACCAAAAACCTCCACATGTAATAACCTAAAATACTGTCTAACACTTGATGGCCGCTCTGTTAATTCTTCGTCATCGGTTAAATTATAGGGTGGCTGCTCAGTGCACTTAATAAACAAACTCCAGCTGGTCCAAAATGCAGCAGTTAAGAGTTCTTACTAGAGTCGTGGAGCAAACAATGGTCTTCTCAATGTAGTAAATGAAGTTCAAGAAGCAGAGTTCCAGATGTCAAAATAAGACTTTATTGGACAAAGCAACAAAGCTGAGATGACGGTCACCGCATCTGAATCTTTATCTGTCCGGGCACCCATACTTATACCTTGTTCTTATCAGTCTTTTCAACCAAAAAAATGACAATTCTGCCTCTGATTGGTCTTTCTCCAAAAGATCTGCTACAATTAATCCTTTACTGCTCCTGGTTTACTTTTTAAATGGTAAACTCCTGCTAGTTGGAATCATTTTTCTACTAACTTTACTCTCACCCTCCCCCTGGATGCAGGTGTCCTCAAAGGCCATTTATCATACTTGTTTGTGTGACTTCCAAGAATATGTCAAGGATGGCACAAAGTTCACTGGTTCACTCTAATTCATTGGTGCTGCCCAGTGGAAAGCATCATACTTGCCCATTAGAGGGCACCTAAGACTCACAGTCTATATTAAGACATCCAATACTGAAGCAATCATCGGAACAATCAACAAATTGATTAGTATATCGATTATAATTATAACCATACGTCATATTTTTGAATAAAATATCACAACACATTCCCCCCTCTGAGACTTTACCAAGTCTCACCTCTAAACCCTTTACCCAGAGTGCAAAACCATGAGTCCACCTCTTCCTTCCATCTATGAACCAATAATGGTCCTCCAGTACCTCTTAACAAATGGCTTCTTCATGATGGTGCACTCTGGAGGAAGTCAGATACAAACATCTCTCCTCACGGTTGACTAGAGAAGAGTAAAAGTTTCCGCCTCCCTACCTAAACATTCTTGGGGGGGTCAAAACAATGAAAAATAAATCAACAATGTGTATTAAAGCATGTGCGTGGACTATCTTAGCCTTGCCCATGGTTGTCATGGTTATGTAGAGTACATGAATAATTAGTCAGATGATTGAACTTATTAAAATCAATATCAATAAAACCTTTACAGTGGCTGTAGCATATATCAGACTGAATGATTTGAGCACTCCTTAAGCCCCGTTCACACTGCCAGCGACTTTTTCGCTGTATGTCTCTAGACTCTGTGCTGTGAAGACGCTTGTGGGCGTTCCTACTGCTGTCGCGCTAATGTTATTGGTAGACTGCACGTCTGGACATATCTTTAGAAAATGCAATCACAAACTATATATATTGCAGGTAAAACTAAGATATCATTCTATTATGACTAGGAATTAGACTTAAAAGAAATAAAAGTACCATTCTGCTGTTGGAGAGTGTTGTTATATAAACTACAGCAGTGCTCGTGCATTAAATCATTAACCGGTGCTGCTCACTGCATCATATAATTAACAACTCGAATCATCAATGTATGAATCAAACTCACTTAGACGGAGGAGGTGCAAGGCATACTTTGGGTTCAAACAAGTAAACACAGCCTAATATTGATCACAACCGACTTAGCCCTGCCTTTGATTTTAACTTTTAGCATCGGTTCTTGATCAGCATCATATGATATCATTGGAAGCGGAGTCCTCCACTTAGGATTCTCTGGGAAGCCCTAATAACATTGGCCAGGCCCACACTATGGGTTGACTGGGCCTAGTGCTTGAGCTTGCACTTGCTGTTGTCCAAAGTTGACTCCTGGGGCCATGGGTTGTTTCTGTTGCCAAGGATTGATGGGGCAGCTCTGCTGCTGTGTCCAGGTTGATTGCATCCCCAACACACTCCTGATTATCCACCTATTCTCTGTTGATTGTTGTTAATTCTTCCCCTGCCACGTCCCCCTTGTTGTTGTCTATTCCAATTTCTGTTGTTCAACTGTTCTGGCTCGAGGTAGATGACAACTGGTGCTGGTCCTTGCGGTGAATTAACTGTTCCAGCAGGTGCATTGACGGGCACCAAAGTGACAGGTGCCATTACTGCTGACTGGTCTTCCTTCTGTACCGCTTGAACCTTTTTTTTCTTGTTGAGTAGCTCCTCAAGCTGTAGTGGAGTCAGCTTTCTTTGCAGCTCCTTCTCCTGGTTCTTCAACTTTAGTTCATGTCTTCTGTATCTTTCCACAGCATGAACCACATAGTCTCTGAACTCTTGGTTTGTCTTCAGGCCCACCACGTCCTCCAGCTTCGCTCTTACTTCTACAGGCATGGCTTCCACAATGGCGGACCTGAAGAGTGCTGTCAGTACCTTGTCATGCTCTGGATCTCTCTCCATTTCATTTTTCCAGCATCTCAGTTATCTTTGAATGTATGTGGTGAGGTTCTCAGTTTCCCTCATTGGCTCTCCTTTTAGAAACCCTGGATCAGTTTGCATTTGGTATTCTGCCCTCAGGGTCTTCCATATGTTTCTTCGATGTTTTTCAAAGGTGACTCCATCTGCTTGAGGCCTGTCCACAGCTTGGAGAAGGTCGGACTGCTTGAGAACGTCATTCATGTTGGAGTCTCCCAGGCATTTAGCGAGCAGGGCTTTGATGTCACCCAGTGTCAGAAGTTTTCCAGTTGTTTTTTTCTTCAAATGTTTTGATCCACTTTCTGGCATCTTCATAAATGTCTTGAAAGGCGTGAATTCAAAGCATCCTGGGGTCTCATTTTTAAAACTTTCCGTAGATTTAATCCTAAATGTTTACGTACACACAAAAGCTAGATTTTGTGTACACACAAAAGTTTTCAGAAAATTGTTCCCTGATAAATATTTTAAAGTAGAGTTGATCTCATTATTTTCCACTGGCCAAATAGTATTTCAATTGTTTTAAACATGCAGTTTTGTTGATAAGGTTAACATCTTTTAGTTATTTTTAGTGGAAACAGATATGCCTATGTTTATTGCAGTGCAAATAGAATTGTCTGTCTTGGCGAGTCACTGACAAAATATTTTAAAAAGGGAATGTGCAAATTACCATTTTCTTCAAGTTGTGCCCTTCAAATTCAGTAGTATTTTTCATAATGTTGTGAAGATGCCTTCACACAACATCAACACCTCTGTGCAGCTGCAGTTGTACAGTAAGCTATTATCATTGGACCTACTCAAGCCGGACAATGGACCATTCGACTAATCCAGCAGTGTTTGCCATAAAATCGAAGTGAGTGGGCATCATTGATCATTGTTATCGCTAAAAATATTTTCTCATAACATGAGATCTGCAGTTTAGTTTAAAGATTAATTATTGTGCACCTATAGCACTCCTCGCTGTCATTAAAACATAGCACGCCACAGGAAAAGTGATCAAGCGCATCCACTATAAGGGTGCTTTCACACTAGCACTTTTGGTGCGCACCCAGGTTTGATTGACGTCAGAGTTTGGTTCATTTAGATGATGTGAACGCTGTCTTCCGAACTCGGGTGCGCACCAGCGAACCGTACCCGAGTCCACTTAAAAAGGGTGGTCTGGGGCACGGTTCATGTGAACTCTGGTACGGTTCGCTGCTGATGTGAACGCAATCGTACCAAATCGCGGAAGTCAACCGCTATAAATGATATTATTTATTATAAATATTATTTGATAAAAATGTGTTTGTGTGTGTGTTTCCATCTTTCCTGACGAGTGTGACTGACGCGCTGCAAACAGAGAGCTGTATATCTAATTTCTGTTCGCCTTCAGCGTTCTTTAGATCTTTTGCAGTGCATTCGTAAGACAGACGTAAGTGCCGTTATGTACCGAAGCTTTATAGTCAAAACAAAATGAACGGTTCAAAAACGTAAATATCTAAAAGTGCAGAGAGCAATGTTATGCATTTGCCGCCTTCTCCTGCGCCACCATTACTAAGCAACCGGGTAAACAGCTGCTGGCATGATGATGCAAACGAACCGCGGTTCGAACCCAAATAAAATAATATGAACAAGGTGAGGGGGGGGGCAATCGAACTCGGGTTCGGACCAGGCAAGCGAACCAAGTGTGAAAGCAAAGCATCCTGGGGTCTCATTTATAAAACTTTCCGTAGATTTAATCCTAAATGTTTACGTACACACAAAAGCTAGATTTTGTGTACACACAAAAGTTTTCAGAAAATTGTTCCCTGATAAATATTTTAAAGTAGAGTTGATCTCATTATTTTCCACTGGCCAAATAGTATTTCAATTGTTTTAAACATGCAGTTTTGTTGATAAGGTTAACATCTTTTAGTTATTTTTAGTGGAAACAGATATGCCTATGTTTATTGCAGTGCAAATAGAATTGTCTGTCTTGGCGAGTCACTGACAAAATATTTTAAAAAGGGAATGTGCAAATTACCATTTTCTTCAAGTTGTGCCCTTCAAATTCAGTAGTATTTTTCATAATGTTGTGAAGATGCCTTCACACAACATCAACACCTCTGTGCAGCTGCAGTTGTACAGTAAGCTATTATCATTGGACCTACTCAAGCCGGACAATGGACCATTCGACTAATCCAGCAGTGTTTGCCATAAAATCGAAGTGAGTGGGCATCATTGATCATTGTTATCGCTAAAAATATTTTCTCATAACATGAGATCTGCAGTTTAGTTTAAAGATTAATTATTGTGCACCTATAGCACTCCTCGCTGTCATTAAAACATAGCACGCCACAGGAAAAGTGATCAAGCGCATCCACTATAAGGGTGCTTTCACACTAGCACTTTTGGTGCGCACCCAGGTTTGATTGACGTCAGAGTTTGGTTCATTTAGATGATGTGAACGCTGTCTTCCGAACTCGGGTGCGCACCAGCGAACCGTACCCGAGTCCACTTAAAAAGGGTGGTCTGGGGCACGGTTCATGTGAACTCTGGTACGGTTCGCTGCTGATGTGAACGCAATCGTACCAAATCGCGGAAGTCAACCGCTATAAATGATATTATTTATTATAAATATTATTTGATAAAAATGTGTTTGTGTGTGTGTTTCCATCTTTCCTGACGAGTGTGACTGACGCGCTGCAAACAGAGAGCTGTATATCTAATTTCTGTTCGCCTTCAGCGTTCTTTAGATCTTTTGCAGTGCATTCGTAAGACAGACGTAAGTGCCGTTATGTACCGAAGCTTTATAGTCAAAACAAAATGGACGGTTCAAAAACGTAAATATCTAAAAGTGCAGAGAGCAATGTTATGCATTTGCCGCCTTCTCCTGCGCCACCATTACTAAGCAACCGGGTAAACAGCTGCTGGCATGATGATGCAAACGAACCGCGGTTCGAACCCAAATAAAATAATATGAACAAGGTGAGGGGGGGGGCAATCGAACTCGGGTTCGGACCAGGCAAGCGAACCAAGTGTGAAAGCACCCTTAATGTCTAAATTCATATATTTTTTGTTTCACTTCTGCGTAATGACTTCATGTAATTTCAGTGCTTATCTCCATTAATGAGAGTGGAATATTTAATGTAAATGTGAATATCAAAATGAAAACAGAGTTTAAAATCTTTGTTTACTTCATTCGTTTTCTCACTCCAGGAAAAAGAGTGCGTACGCATTGTCTAGAATGTCTGTACAGTGCGTGCATTGAGAATTGCACTGATATGTGCATTGAGAATTGCGTACGCATACTTCTATGCCCATTTTGTGCGTAGCAACATTAATAAATGAGACCCCAAATCTTGACTTGCCCAGGGTATGTATTGGACGTGACCTTGCTTGATGAGCATTGGGCACTCAGCTGTTGGGGGTCCACCCCTTTTCGATGTCCTTACTGGCTTGTGTTCTTCTACTCCTCTATGACTTTGCGGCTGAAGAACTTGGAATCAGTCATCTGGGTATTCCAGATCTTGCATGACCAGCGTCTCAGCTACTTGCTTGTACTGCTTCCTCTGAACATAATAATGTGGGCTTGGGCATAGCAGCATTGGTTCACATCCACTTTCCAGTTCATCCAGCTCTCGTTTCAGAGAATTCCACCTCATGGGCTGTTCTCTTTCTTTTCTTTTTGGTTGAGGTACTGGTGTTGATGTTCTTAATCTCTCCTTATATGGCTCCAGCTCCTCCCTCAGGCTTATGTGTATGTCTCCGTCTCTCCTGTTCTCTACCATTCTCCTCTGTTCATCTCTGCAGCTCTGTTTACCTCTTTCGCTTACTGTCTTATACATACCCCTCAAATTCTATTGGCCCCTTTAAATCAAATTTTCCCTGTACTAAAGGCATTTGATTTACAGTTTGATCTCAGGAAGGAGCATATGGAGGTGGTCTTTCCCCTTTTTTCATTGTTCTTATTCTCTTTTTCTAGTTTCTCCAATGTTAATAACTTTATTCCATATTGTTTGAACAGGTTCAAACAATGCATCCTGGTGCCATGTGTTCCCCAGTTAAGCGATGCACACGCACCCAGCCATCCACGTGATGTAAAAGAAACCATAATTCATCACCAGGCTACCTTCTTCCATTGCTCCGTGGTCCAGTTCTGATGCTCACGTGCCCACTGTTGCCACTTTTGGCGGTGAACAGGGGTCAGCATGGGCACCCTGACTGGTCTGCGGTTATGCAGCCCCATACGCAACAAACTGTGATGCACTGTGTATTCTGACACCTTTTCCATCAGAACCAGCATTAACTTTGAGCAATTTGAGCTACAGTTGCTCGTCTGTTGGATCGGACCACACGGGCCAGCCTTTGCTCCCCATGTGCATCAATGAGCCTTGACCGCCCATGGCCCTCTCGCCGGTTCACCACTGGTCCTTCCTTGGACCACTGACCACTGGGAACACTCCACAAGAGCTGCAGTTTTGGAGATGCTCTGACCCAGTTGTCTAGCCATCACAATTTGGTCCTTGTTAAACCCGCTCAAATCCTTACACTTTCACATTTTTCTGGCTTCTAACACATAAGCTTTGAGGACAACATTTAAATTTGCTGCATAATATATCCTACCCACTAACAGGTGCCGTGATGAAGAGATAATCATTGTTATTCACTTCACCTGTCAGTGGTCATAATGTTATGCCTGATTGAGATATATATATATTAGGGGTTTTTATTAAACAGTGGTTTACTGAACAAATTTCTCTCTCTTTAAATAAATTCAGTTATAATTAATTTTCTTAGGGATAAAAATCTACCTCGGCTTATGCTCTAAAACTATAGGGAGCCCTTTTACATTAGGCCGACTATAAGGTTACAGTTAACAACAGAGCCCAAACTTACATTTAATTACCATTTATTTTTAAATATAACAAGCAACTCTTAACTTAAATGTATGCAAATAGGGATGGAACGATTACCGGTTTCACGATAAAATGCACTGACGGTTTGTATTATCGTTTAAAATTTAATTATCATCAAAACCGTGTTTGATTATCGCGATTTTGAAAACTTGCTGTAAATCCTGTCCAGCCAGCATCAGTCTGACGCGGAAGCAGCATGCAATGTTGTTGTTTTTTTGCATGAGACTAAATGGTGAAAGGCAGTGGCAGCGTCAAATTTGCTCAGCCATCTTCGTGACAACCACCCACTGTTATATAGCGAATGCAAGGTAACTTTTACCTCAATACCAAAACTAACTGGGCAAATAATTGGACAAAAAATATCGATTAGAGATTAAATATTTTGTTATCTCACTTGTAATTAACGCAAAGCTTCTGCGAAGAAAAGTTCGCAGTAAGTGGCTTTAATCCAAGATGAACAAACACATTCAAACTATTAAGGTTGACATTTAAGGGATAATGTATTGTATATTCATAGTTAAATTATTACACAGATTTTTTTGTTTTGTTTACCTATAATAATAATATATAAATACGGGGACATGAAATATTGAATTGAGATTACTGTTTTAAAATCTTACCCGTTTATGTTCTTTTTGAACATTTTCATCTCATTTTAACAAAACTGTGATATTGATAGTCGTGATATGAAATTTGAATACCGTTACATCCCTATATGCAAACATGTAAATTGCACATAATGCCGTTTTTAAAATTAACTTCTAAATTATAAAAATTGTATTTGTTGAAATATATTCATTTACACAGTGCCTCTCATAACTTGTTTCATAACAGATTTATTTAAAAATTAAATAATTAAGACATCACTAACAGGTTAAGTCAAATTTAATGAGTATATAGTCTAATATTTTGCAAATTGCTCTTCTCTAGACTTCATTTATAGCGCACTAACAAGCTGTGGACACTAATGACTCGCCTGAGGTAAATGGAATACTACGTGACGTTTTGTTTACAAGCGGTTTTATTGCCGTCTTTCCGCAGTCGAAACACTGATTAAACGATTACGTGAGGCATGAAATGTTCATTCATGTTTATTTTGCATAATCTAGTAAAAAGAGGAAGGGATGCTCGCCCTGCCATTTGAACTGAGGTGTTTATAGCGATCTGTCATGCCACATCAAAGAGTGTCAAAACAGCATTTATTGTTTGAAGTTCCTGAAAAAAATGAACATTTTAAAGATGAGATTTTGTTTCTTATAAAATGTAACAATAAATAAAACTGGAAGTTTCTAGTGAAGTTCCGCTCGTGCAGTGGTTAAAAAAATGCTGTATTTGTTCAGTACACGGAAACTGCTTAAATGTGAATCTTGATGAGAGGGTAATCTGTGGCAGGTGTGATGGCTGACAGAGTGCAGGTGGTAATCAAGAGGGATGCTGGGAAATGTAGTTCATTGATGACAAGACTGATGAATGGGGATCGTGACATCCTGCATGCTATTGCCTGATGTCTGGCTCGGCAAACTGCCCCATTCATGTTTCTATTGTTCACATTCGACAAACCTTTCACACCTCTGCCAGGTATGAAACATAATCCTCATTATTCCTTTATCATTATTATTTTGTTTTTATCCAGCCATTATTAGCCTTTATTCTGGCATTACGTGGCCTACCAATCCACACTGCTTTGATTCCAATATACATTAACCCGCCTTTTATAAAAAGTCTTTCTAGAAAACAAAGCATTTTTTTGCAACCTTGTGTGAATTAGTTTGACAAAATACATGATGAAATAGAACTGCACCTCTGCAGCAGGTGTAAATATATCAATATTTCTCCAAGTATGTGTAGTTTTGGGCAATAAGCAATAATGGATGCTGTTCAGTGAAGCTATGTGAACACAAATAAACCACAGCAGACGTAACTGAATATGAATGTGTGTTGTTATTCTATTCAAAATATCATAAATTTCAGATCGATTATTTTGCACTCCTGACATAAAATTCAGTTGCAGTGACAGTAATTTCTTAATTTATCAAAACAGTGGTCAAATATCGAAGCTGTATCAAGTAAAGTTTGATGTTTTAACATGCCGTGAATGTGGTAAAACAATAATCTGAGGCTGCCTGCAATCTTTGCATGTTAAGGGGATAATGTAATGAAGAGAAAATAAAAGACACTATAACATCGCACTATTACTGATTTATCGTGCAGCTTAAAGCATTACGAGTAGAATGTCTCGTCAGTCTATTCTGATTCATCAACACAGCTTCACTGATGATTCAATATAAACCCAAAACCCAGCACAGAGCGGCTGAGTGAATGTGGTCTGGACTGTGTGGATGAGGCTCATTGTGTCAGAGACGCTGTAGAAGGACAGAATTCCTGCACTATGATCCACATACACTCCTATTCTACTGCTTGTTACTAAAGGCAGATCAGTCTCGATATTATTGTGTAAGAATAAGGATCTAGGGCAAGACAAGAACAATGTCCAGGACTGATCATTACGCCCAAGCACACACTCATTACCCCGTCCCTTCCTGCTGATGCTCTTATATGACACTGATATAAACACTTCACGCCCACTCCACTCAACCTCCCAGTAACAGCGTCCACACACACTCTCTCTACACAACACCTCAAGATGCCCATTAAATCTGTCTGGATGATCAGGATACAGCTGATCCTCATCCACACATGTAACCTTTCTGTTCTTATCAGACAGAATGAGACGAGTGTATGCTGTGTTTGGATCCAGCGTGAGAAAACAGGCATCTGAACACAAGAACAGAGATATTTATAACACAACAACAATCACTAAAACTGTGTGTGTGTGTGTGTGTGTGTGTGTTTGTAGACATACATTTGTGTAGTCCTGCTGTAATCCTGGATTCTCCTCCATGGTCCACACTATAAAATACAAAACGCACACAGTCACATTTAGTCAGTAAACAAAAGTTTTAGTTTAGTAATTTTAAAAGATAGAATTTTCGACAGACAGATTTAAAAATGGAACGATTATGTGTACTTCAATTCAGATACATTTATATTGTGACTGTGCCTCAGATACTCAACAGTAACTCAAATGGCCCATATAATTAGCCCATTAGGTCAGCATCAGGGGTCTCATTTATAAAACTCTCCGTAGATTTCATCCAAAAAGTGTACGTACGCACAAATGATAGATTTTGCATAGGCACAAAAGTTTTCAGATGTATAAAACCAAGCGTATGCCAGAACCTGCAAAAAAAACTCTTTATAAATGAAGACTGTGCATACGTGTATCTCCACCCCGTCTCCTCCCCGAAATCACCTTACATGGAGCTTACAATGCCTAGTTTTACCATGCATAACCTCATCTGCATATAATTTCCATGCATATTCCCATCCACATGACACCATGTTTAACACCATCAAAGGTACAACACATTAAGGGGATACAGACTATTAATGCCATTTGTTACATACACATTCATTTTTATTGCAAAAATCATCCAGTATCCTTGTTATGTTTTAGAATAAATATATCAAAATATCCATAAAAAAAACTTTTGAATAGTTCTCAGATAAATATGTTAGAATAGAGTTGATTTCATTCATTTCCACTGACCAAGTAATATTTAGTTCCCTTTCATGGGAACTTCGAACTGCGTCCTCTAGGGTTGTTTTAAACAATTCATATTAAATTTAATTTATGCAGTTTTGCTGATAGGGTGAACATCTTTTAGCTATTTTAGTGGAAACATATAGGCCTATATTTACTGCAGTGTAAATACAATTGTCTGACTCTGGCATCACTGACAACAAAACTCAAGATCTTCGCAATTTATATTTATATTGATATGATTCGATTTTTGTGAAAATCGGACCAGCGGTCTAGGAGGAGTTCGAAAAAGTAGGTTTTTAAAGAAAATCAAAATGGCGGACAGGAAGTTTGGCTGACTATGGCAACATTGGTATCACTGTTCTCAGCATGACCCAAGGAATCTATTAATACCAGTCTCATTACAATAGTCAAAACTCACAGAAAGCTATTAGTTTAAAGCTATTACTTTAAGGTTATGGTTTTAATAGTACATACAAAGTTTCGTAATGGTACACCAATGCATTCGTAAAATATAGCATTTTATATCATAATACTCTATTGTAGTCAATGGCAATTTCATGTTTTGTTCAATTATAGCGCCACCAAGAGGCACAATCCCACCAAATTTTGTATGTGTCCTTAGAGTGTGCCCATTCATATTTGTCTCAAATTTGGTGAAAATATCTCCTTTTATGTTGGAGTTATAGACATTTTTATACATGAGAAGAGAAAAAAATGACTGATGGCCGACTTTGTTTGCATTTTTTGCCACTTACTATCAAACATTTTTTTCACCTACGGTGGTTTCGTGTCGATCAGAGTAACGGTTTCTAAGATTTTGGCAAATGTTTTTAAGCGCTAAAATGCAACGTTGCACAAACCATAGGGCAAAACCTGGCATGTTGGGTATCGCTGGACTCGGCAAGGATTCAGGAGTCTAAAAAGGTGACTCCCGTGAAAATAGATCGACCACACCCAAAGTTATAAGCATGTAAATATAAGTGGCGTTGGCTCGAAACTTCTCAGGCTCATTCAGGGCATCGTGCTGATGACCCATACCAAGTTTCGTAAGGATATGTCAATGCGTTCATAAAATAAAAGCATTTTACTACAAAATTCAAAATGGTCGCCGGCCAAAATGGCTGACATGGGAAAATTGGGTATCATTCGACTCGGCATGATGCACCCAATCTAAAGAGACCGTTTTTGTGATTGGCCAAACCAATTAGAAGTTATTAGCAAAAATAGCCACGTCATCTGGTGAGGTGAAGCGCTTCATTGTCCTGTCAGCCTCAGAGCTGCAGGATACAGCAGGGCATCCTTGGTCCTACATCAGCGCATCTTTCGGGATCCGTGCCAACATGACGAGCTGCGTTCAACACTCGCTGCTTGTCTGTAAAGTAATGGAACTTTATGATGACAGGTCTGGTTCATTGCGCAGCTCCTGGCAATGGCGCTTTCGTTGCAATCTTAATCAAGCAATCGTTGCCTTCCATTCCCTCCGGCAACCCGACTCGACGCAAATTACACCTGCATCCGCGATTCTCCAGATTGTCGATGTGCACTGACATTTCACTCACTATGATCAGCCAACGGAGCCTGCAGGGATTCCGTTGAATTTTACACACAGGTGATCCATTCCTCTGCCTGGCCCACTTGCCCGACCAAAGCCTGGAACTGAACTGATCGTTTATCGCGGCTAGGACACTATTTACTTTCTCATCCATTACCTTCGTAATGTTTTCAGTTAATTTGTCCAAAGCTTGAGCAAAGGTGGAGTTGGAACTTTCCTCCTCCCGACTCTTCACATTTGCGTCGTCCAAGTAACATCCTGCTCGATCTTCTTAGCTTTGGGCATTCTGTCAGATCTTTTTGAAAAATATTGATCTAAAGACATGGCACAATAACCTTCACTGAGTGAAAATATATATTAGCTGAATATTTAAACTAATGTCTCATCAAAATACGTGTCCACTCTATGGCGCCATCTTCCTCCCCGGAATATGCATTTTATTAAGTAAAAAATATTAATTTGTTCATAACACCACCGTTATAGAGCCCAAGTATCAATTTGCCACAACTCAGTGAACACCAACGAAACCTGTTATCACCTACAACACAACATGAACTTTTCACAGCCCTATAACTCATGACGAACAATAAAGCACCAGGTCCTGGTGGTCACTTTTGGTCCATTTTATCAGCAGTCTTCATCAGAATGATAAGAGCAAAAAAAAAAAACTCCCAACTAATATGAACAGCCACAATTTCACTCATGCTCAATCCCAATAAAGATCCAACATTACCATCAAGCTATCGTCACATTTCTCTGATCAATGCAGACATTTAAATCATTGCCAAAGCACTAGCCCATAGAATAGAAAAGGTCACACCATCTATGGCCACATTCACACAGCAGCAGAATACGGTTGTCAGTCCTATATTTAAGTCCTTAAATTATGTTTTATTTACAAAGTTTGGGAGGAGCATGTTCAGATAATTAACCCAGCCAATTCATCATCAGCAATTACACCATCTATCCTATCAGCTCGAGAGAGAACTTCTATAAATAGCCCAAGCCATCTTACCTTTATTCTCTCTAAAGTATTCCAGCATTTGGTTCGTTCCTTTTGCCTTTTTATCACAGACCCAATTATTTCCCATCATACGACGAGACCGATACTGGGGATTTTTCAGATCCTCTGCCGCACTTTGCTGGCCCCATGATCACTCCTTCTCTGCCAGACACGGCCACCGAGCACCAGGCTTCATCGCGGCCGCCACCCTTCTCGACCAGCCACACGCTCTCCATGACGCCGAGGCTTAACCTCGCCTCCACTGGTGAGACTTCCAACTTCCCCAGCATCCTCGTATCATTCGGCCATACCAGAAACTCCTCCGATCGGAAATTGGACAGTATTTAAGTCCAAGGCAAACACTGATTAATTCCAACGCACCTTTCTCGCGGAGGGTAAACAAAGCTGATCTGTACGATCTATTCGTCACCCTGCAAATTGGCCAACCTCACTCCTAAATCCACTCCAGCCGCGAAAGTGGCCAATAGACCATGCAAAGCCCCAAGCTCGCCTTGCTCAACACCACCATCGTCCCTACACTCCTCGAGCGCTAGGTCGCAGCAGCAGCAGGCCTTCAACGAGCCTTGGTTCTCACCGCAGCAGCCTCACTCGCTTCCCGCTTCGGCTCAGCCTTTCACCGTGGCTCTTCCGGCCGCAGTGCTGTATGAGGCCGGGCCTCCAGCTCTTGTAGCAGATGCTAGCTCGAGGCTGCCTCCGCTAGCGGCGCAAGCCGTGTTGCAAATTAATAAATTTTTAGGTGAAGTAGCTGAAAGCAGTTTTCATGGCTAAAGTTTGTTAAACGACGTTATGACAAACATTTTCTAACCATGATGCAAACCACCGTCATAGATCCTCTTCTGAATATTAATATTCTGAATATTATTAATTTGTCAATGTCATTAGGATATGTCCCCAAAACCCTCAAATTGGCTGTTATTAAGCCTCTCATTAAAAAACACAACTTGATCCTACAGAATTAATTAAATACAGACCAATCTCAAATCTCCCTTTTCTGTCAAAATACTAGAAAAGGCAGTATCCTCTCAGCTATATTCCTTCTTAGAGAGAAATGGTATCGGTGAGGATTTCCAGTCAGGATTTAGACCGTATCATAGTACTGAGACTTCTCTTACCAGAGTCTCAAATGACCTACTCTTATCATCCGATCGTGGTTTTATTTCTCTATTAGTGCTACTGGAACTTAGCACTGTGTTTGACACTATCAACCATGACATTCTTTTGAGTAGACAACAAAATTATGTTGGCATTAGTGGAATTGCATTGGCATGGTTCAAATCCTACTTATCTGACCGTTGTCAATTCGTAGCAGTGAATTGCGAGCTATAATATCAATCACAAGTACAGTATGGAGTACCACAAGGCTCAGTACTAGGACCACTGCTGTTCACGCTTTATATGTTACCCTTGGGAGATATCAAGAAACATGGTGTTAGCTTTTACTGTTATACTGATGATACTCAGCTCTGTTATACTGATGATACTAATTTCTTTGCGGCCTGATAAAGCATATAATTTCGGAAAACTAACAGATATAAAAAACTGGATGTCTAGTAATTTCCTACTGCTAAATTCTGAATAAACAGAGGCTTTAATTATTCTAGAGTTCTTACTAGAACCAGGAAGTACAACCATATTAGCCCGGCTCTGTCAACTCTGCACTGGCTCCCTATTGAACATAGAATACATTTAAAAATCTTGTTAATTACTTAAAGCCCTGAATTAATAAA